AAACATTACTGTATGGCACATCTACAGGTTGAAAGAAGGTAACCACATCTAAACCAGAGCAGAAAGGTGGGAGCCTTTTGCTGGCAATGCATTAGTTCATCTCTTCACAACTTCAGAAAGACTTGGGGAAGCTAAGTGAACAGAAGCTGCAAGGATGAGAAATCAATCAATGGACTGTGCATGTGTAGAAGTGAGAAGCGTGCTAACTGCAGCTCTGAAGAAGCACCCTGATTGCCAATTTAATGGAGATGCATAGACCCATGAGAAGACAATGGGCCAACTGTATCCCTAGTAAAAGCCACATGAAAAGTGGAATTGCACTAGGTATGACTTTACCCCAATGTGTTTAGCTTACCAGCTGTCTTGTTTGTATGGCTACATGAGCCCATGCCATCCTTGCCTCTTCTGTAAATACAGAACTGGGGAATATTTATATTCTGTAATCTCCATACTATGCAGTATGGTGGAGGTAAATTTCACTGGGCCTGTAATGTGACTGATATGTGAGGGAGAATGTGTTTTGATATCTCTGTATAGAGCATCCCTCTACTAGTCTAATTTAATTGAAAGAAAATGATAGTGATCCAAGATGAATGTTCCAGGCTGAAGGTGACTAACTTGATGGTGACAAAAGCTTTAAAATAACCCCTTCTCCCCCCCCCCCTTTTTTTTTACACTAAAATAATGCTTCAATAATATGAGGTGAAGGAGAAATTCCATCTGAGCAAAGGAATGGGAGCCAGCTGCTAGGGAAGAATGTGGAACAAGATCTGCAGGAGAACGTATGAAACATATTAGGAAAAGACAGATTAACCTATCAAGACCTACATTTTAGTTTCTGTTTCTCCTAAAGAGTTGATGACTACACAAATATTTTAAACACTATAAGAAGTCAATTTCCCTCCTGCCCTGCTGCTTTAGGTTTTTTTTAATGTCATCTCCTCTTCCTGGAGAATCTTGAATTCAGGCCAGGAAGATGAGAGGAAAAAACTTTCAAACTCTCTGGTAAGATAATTTTTAGGAACTTTGACTTTATGTATTCTGTTAATTTAGGATCCTAAACATCTTACATGTCTTTGCTTATTGCTATGCAGACATGTCATCTATGTTGTTATATCTTATGGAATTAACTTAATTTACTAAAGGTGAGGAGGTTTTGTTATTTTGTAATTGTTCATACTCATAATGAAAAAACCCCTTAAGGTACATCTAGTTTCCAAGGTAATTTGAAACTATCAGAAAAATATTTGGGGGAGAGGGGCTGCGAGAGAGGGAGATAGCAATTTTCAGATCCTTCCTCCTACTGCCAGACATGTAGTATTGATACTACTGTAATAGTGACACCTGCTTGCCCCATGGGAAGGAAGTTTTGATGGCCTCATTGTTATTGCTGGAGCTAGTAAAAGAGCAGGAAGTGTAGGTGGACGCCATGTTTTCTTTGCAAAAGCAACAAACTCTGTTCTAGCTTCTATTACAATAGAGAAGAAATTTTACAAAGCAGTGGCTGCAACCGCCCTTTTCACCACCTCCTGACTTCTTAAAAATCATGACAGCATTTTGTAGCCCTATTCATAGTTCATCTATTGTATCTGCTGGTTTAACTTCTCATTTTTGTCCCTTCCTAGAGCTGTGGACAGATTACAGGCCCTGTCTACACTACTGCTGAAGCAGTAGTACCACATACAGTTTCTAAACTAGGATTTTCCTAACATTTCCTCTGGTTGTCTTATGATGATGTAGGGCCCTGGTCTATCACACAGTTTTCATCCCTGTTTATGCTAGGAGAAGTGTTAATACTACAATTGCTAACAAAACATTGTTCAGGCCAAAGCTGTTAATGCTAATGGGCATGGCCTAATTCACTGAGATGTTGCTTTGAATTTTGAATGAAACAAATTTGCATTGTTTGTGTCCAACAAGTGTTTCTCATTAAGCCTGTATTTGAGAACATGAAATTCCCATGCTGGACCAGACCAGTGTTACATTTCTTCCAGTATCTTGTTCCCCACAATGGCCCAACAGCAGCTGCTTCAGAAGAAGGTGTAAGATGCTCCACATGAAGCATATTATAGAATATGCTGCTCACACAGAACTTTGTTCCTAATCTCAGTCAGAGGTTGCTTATGTCAAGAAGTACGAAAGCTTATATCCCTTCTGAAGCTCTAGGTTACAATTTTTGTAATCTTTTACAATAACTCTCTGGATATTTTTATCTGCATAAAAGTCCAATATTGTCTAGTTTAAAAAAAAAACACACAATTTTGCAGTGACTTAATTGGAACTAAGCCTCCTGTACTGCCCTCCACAGAGGGGCAGCATGAAGAAAATTTCCTGGGTAAAATCTAAATACGCTTGACATTTGAGTGTTATTCTACATTAGAGTAATTTCTTAAAAAATATATATATCATGTGGTTCTATGATTGCTCAATATTATCCAAATCAAGTTGGCTCATTTTTCTCCCCCCTTTTTAAATTAGACTAACTTGCAGCATCACAATCTCAACCTATTTTGTTTTTTGTGTTGGTTCCTGGCTTGTGAATCATCATACTAAAAAGATTATGCAAGCCAAGTTCTGTCCCGAGTTGTTCATAGAGGTGCCATAGATATAAATGAGGGCAGAACTTGGTTAATTTTCCTAGTTAAAGAGAGACATTGGTGGATTTCAAGGGAGCATATCTGTTATCATGTTGGTGGATCGTGACTGGTGTGTGGTCTTGAAGATGGCAGCATGTAGGAGAGAAATTCCCCAGGAAAAGAAATAATTTTTCATTATGTTGATTCTTTGGTTTTCTTTTAAGTTTTCAAATACAGTGTAATACTGGTTACAAGCATTAACTTTTGATGTAATTTTAAATGATTAGGAATGTTTCCTAGGGCAAGCTACTAACTTGAGTTTAACTAACCAGATGGTACATTCAGTGGCGGATTAATAATTTTGCCGCCCCTAGGCCAGGAAATAATTGCCGCCCTGGCCCTGCCCCAATTCC